GTGTTGGAAAGTTTGAACATTTCCGTCGTCAGCATGGCGTGATTCAAAGAATGGAGGCTAACATTGAGGGGGAGTGTTGAAAATTCAATATTAGCCTAAATAAGTTCACACCTAAATTAATTTGATGTCATTGCTTACATCAATTTAGTTTTGATGTCATTGCTTACATCAATTTAGTTAGGTGAAAATTAAGTATTTTTCTCATGTTTTAATTTCAATGGTTTAGATTATTTAGTGCTTATTTTAATGAGTGGTTTAGATTGTTTCTTGTAACCTATAAATACCCTACTTGTATTTGAGTTTTATCATCCAACAATCAAAGCTTAATTATAAACATTTGAAAGCTTTCTTAAGAGTTCTTCCCTTTTGCAATTTTGTGAGATTATTCTAAAGAGTTTTTTTCTTCTTCTCGATCAATTAGAGTTTTTACTCTATTTTGATTCAACACTCGTCGATGTCGGAGTCCAGAAGTTCATCCAGCGACGGGTAGATTGCCAGTTACAACGAGCCGAAATTGAGGATCATCGACGCCACCATTACCGTCTTGTTGCTACACCAATAAAAAACAAATTGTTTCGAGAAGAAGACATAAATAAAACCAATTCACTACTCAATCACTAGAATAGAAATGTAGTACCTGATTAGAGAATTGATACTTGTTCGACTCGAAGATGAGGTCGCTGAGTTCGTTGAGGTAATCGTCATCGCCAAGTTGTAGATCAAAACCATTATTCAGCGGCTGGTCAGGATTGTAATCAGTCACTCCTGGATAGTCGAGAGCCGACAGCATTGAAGTGTTTGCTTGCTGGTTCGTTGCAGTAAAGGCCGGTGGAACTTGGTTTGTTCCTTGTAATCCCGAGGAAGAGAACTATCATCGAGCCAGATAATCAAAATCTTGATTCCCCATGGGTGCAACATTCATATTCTCATTGAAAACACCATTCATTGAACCATACACACTGCTAAGTCCATCAGTATTCAAGCCAATCCCAGCGTAGCTATTATTATTGCCGGCGTAACCGGGATTCAGGCTAGTGTGGGAACAGTTCATGCTTCCAAAGATCCCGTTGCCAAGTGTCGAACTCGAAGAGTGAAGACTAGGTGAGCCAAACCTGAACTGTGATGAGGAACCAGCATCGTAAAAACCAGGCCTTGCTTGAATCTGCTGCGGTTATGATTGCACCGAGTTTGCACCATTCATCAGGTCACTAGAGAATCTGCCACTGAGTGACAAATTCGATCCATTTCCATATCCCAGTCGATTTCCCAGATAGGGTGGGTTCATCAGGTTCCCGGAGAGCAGTGGCCTGTTAGCTTGATGAGACAACAAACGGGATTGTCCATAGCCATATGGATGAATCATGAAGTACCGTGTTACTGCTTGAAGCACCATGATTACCATTACCGAAGGTTCCATACCTAGTAGCATTATGAGGCGAACAGCTCCTTCCATAACCAGGATAGGAGGTTGAGCCCCTCAATTGGTGCAGTTCTTGCATTCTCACGTATTCTTGAGCAGTTTCCATCAACAACGGATGGCCAGTTGCAAAAGTGGACTTGAGGAACCTGTCGAACAAGGCCTTTGATGAAAAACAAGTCCTCTCTGCAACTCGCTTTTAGGAGATCCGATACTTCTGCAACATTTACATGAGCCAGTAAAATACTTTAGAATTTGTAAGGGAAACGATTTGTCCAAAAATCTTCAATAAAATAAGCTTAAGATTTATTCTTTAGATTGAGCATGCAAAATCACTCTCTCAATAGATCTTTCATTGTTATAATTAAATGTGATTAAAGGGATTTAATTGCCGATAAAAAAAACAAGGGACATAAGTAGAGAATTAGCCAAAAGCTAACCTGTAAATGACTAGCCACATTTTCTCTGGTTAAGCCCTGGAAGGTTCATATGCTCAAGAATCTTCTTTGGGACAGCTTCTGCTTGAGTTAATTATGAAAAGAAGAAGTTATCATCAGTTCGCTATCCATTTTAAAATCAGAACTATCGGTTATATATATGTATATGTATATGTAAATGTATATATATATATATATATCCACATGCTTTCAAGGCCAATATCTCAAAAGGCATCCAAGAACTGGTTGTAAAGTGTGTTTGTCCAGACCACCTTAGCATTCCTGGCTTTTTGGGTTTAGGATTATTGTCATCATCTTTTCCATCCTTGTCCTTCCCTGGTTCCTTTCTTTGGAACCTCTTTTACCATCATCCCTTTGGAGATGTCAATAGTCCCATATTGCCGAGGGATAGTTTTCCGGCCGACAATGACGAGGAGTCTCCATCAGTTTCCTCCACAGCCAAGGATTTACCTTTCTTGGCAGCAACGGCATATTGCCATACATTCTCGAGGCCATCGAGGTGCACAGGTTTCACTATGAAAAACACAGCTCCTTCCGCAAAGCTTTCCAACATCACACTTTCACTGTCATCGAAGGACATTACCGCACACATTGAAGTGTTAGTTTCAGTTGACATAAGTCTCGAGTTTTACTCTTAAATAACTCGTAAAAAGAAAAGAACAATGGTGAATTCTCGCTTTATTATTCTTTGGAGCTGGATCCCATTCATTCCGGGCATATGGAGATCAGTGACCACTAGGTCAAAATTGCTTGGATTTGCACGAAGAACAGATAATGCAGCCATGGGGTTTTTAACACTTGTAACCGAAACATACAAGGAAGAAAGCTCAAGAGTTTACTCTGTAAACGAAGAAGATTTACAAATATTTCAAATTTTATTTTAAAAATAACTTAGATTTGAAAAACCCTAAGAAAAAAGATGCTGAAACCAGACAAGTGGAATCATCATCAACAACCAAGATTGTGATTTTCAAAAGACGAGTGTTTTATCTTAACATTTTTCACGTTAAACATGTATACATTTTTTGCTCGGCACGTGGATAATATTACCATTTAACAATTTAAAACGATATTTAATGATATATAACGATCATAATTAATCTATGAAACCATTAGCATGAGACACGACAACTTTTTTAATAATCTCAAATGACATCGTTTAATGATATAACATTCATAATTTGTTTCTAATATCACATACACAAAGCACATTATTCTTTTAACGATCTAGAATAATGATAGTTAAATATATCAATCTTATCTATAATATTATTAACACATAATGCTACACATTACTTCTTTGACGATCCATAATAACAACGTTAACGATAATATCATCGTATCTTATCTATATTATTTTAACATGCAATTCTTCTGATTTGGTGCAACCTTTGATTCTCATTTTACTTTCAAATATCGTTACAATGGTGAAGCTAGATAGACATCGGCCTCGTTGTTAAAAAGGATAATTGCATGTTTAGTCCTTTCAAATTATAATAATTCAATCTAACATATTGTTTACTCAACATTAATATAAACAAATCTATTTTCTTCTAAATATATATAATTGGAATAAACTTTAATTGTATATTTTAATTTTTACGTTACAATTGCATGAACTCAAAATTTCCACTTGTACGGCCAGTTTGGAGGACTTTTTACTGGGGCTCATTTCTTCATAATAGTCAAATGGAAAAAGGAAAAAGCACTCTAATAAACGTGAATTAATCTCATGTTTATCCATTAATAAAGTAAAATTATTCCCTTTGATTCATTTTATATTAATTACTCCATTTATTTAACTTTGTTTTCATATATCAAATCAAAATTAGAGTTTTAAATTTCATTTTTTAAATTATTAACAAGCGTGAATTATTTTCTATTTTTATAATTTCATCAACTAGATATAAAACATGTGTATTTTTTGTTTTAAAAAAATAAGTTTTTAAAGATTTTAGAAATTAAAATTTGAATTTAGAGATAAAACGTACTTTTTTAAAAGATAATTACATATGAACTAATTACACTAAACTTTTTTTCTGGACAAGGACCAAATTTGACACAACAAGACTGCAATTCTTAATTAATAAAAAGACAGAAGAGAAGTGAAATGGTAAGAACATGAATACTTTGTTCTCTGCTCATGGTTTTGCAAAGCCATTTCTGTTTGAACTGATTAACCAGAGATTCTTAGTGCTTATCTATTTGAGTTGAGAGAGAATTAAATCTTTAACCCAGGAAGGAGGTCAAGATGAAGTGGCAATTCTTGTCGTCTCAGTAATTAATGAGAAATTAGTTAAACTAATTCATCATTACATCAGTTTAAAAGCCCAAACCCAAAGAAATTAAACTCCAAGCCTAATCCTAGTGCCATGTCTACCCCAAGCTTAGCCCAAATTAAACCTACACTAGATACAACTCAAACAAACATTCAGCCCTACACCTGATGTATTACCCACAAATTGGGTGCGATCGATCCGACCCGAACTTATTCTCTCCAACTAGATTTAGTCTCTCTCCGACGGTGACTCTATTGTCGATCGAATTTATATTTTTTCATTACAAAAAGAAAAGAAAATATATTTATATTTACCAACCCAATATGTAATATAGATTTAGTATTATTTAATAATTTAAATTAATTTTATATTCTTTTAAGAGTCAGATCCACTTGAGAAGTTGGTCCAACCTACACCAGTCCAAATTTGTAAAGGATCAAATTAAGTGGGCCAGATCCGACTCTTTAAAAAATAATAAAAAGCCTTGAGGGATTACAATAACCAAAGCGTCATTAGCAAATATTGATGTAATTTGGTGTGGTTGTAAACCATATAGTAACGATAAAATTATAAAGTTACTGTGGCAATAACTAAACCCTATTGTGATTACAATAACTTGTATTTCCTTGTGCATATTTAGTCAACAAATGGTAATTATACACAATTTATACCATAGTATACTTTCTTTATTATCGAATTAATTGATTACAAATATACGAGATTAATAATAGTACTGAGTGATCTTAGTGGGAGAAAGGAATTTGATTTTTCTAAAAAAATTGAGTTCGAACAATGTGTTTATAGAACGTGTTTGAATTATAATGTCCAGTAATTATAAACATGGTGTGCATAAACAACAAACTGCAACAACGTATTGTTCTTCTGGTATGAAATTCGCATGGTTTCAACAGGAATTAGATAATGTGATAACAGCATTGAGCTTGGCAAGGCATTCAGTAGGTCAAGTGAGGAAGGAATCCATGAAGAAATCATGAATAGGCTCAACAAATGCCACCCCAACCAATTTGCAATTCCCTTCTTCATCCAACCTCTCTCCTCTCCCACCTCTAATCTTCCCTTTCGATTCATCGGACGTTAAAACAGTCTTCACCAGCAACGCCGGCGCTTTATAAACACTCCCAACGGAAAAGCAGAATTTGGCCAAGAATTCCAGGTCAACCTACGAAGCCAAATGCAAGAAATTAACATAAATAAACATCCCAAATCCAATACAAATTATGGGGTCTTCACTCTTCAAGCATAGCTTTTACCTTGCCGGATTCCTGGTTGATATTCCCTTGAAACAGTTGAGGAACAATGTCGATTTTCAAAAACGTCGGCAATGGCAATCCGAGGAACTTGGTTGTTGAGCTTGTCAGTGGTGGAATGTAGAGTGTTTCAATGTCGAAATCAACTGAGAGTTCATTGGCGTCATCGGCGACCTTTGAACCGGTCCCGGCCCCTGTTCCTCCTTGGGCATTGTACTCGAAGTCGGGATACCAGGAAATTCCAAGCTTGCAAGCTCCCAGGGTCTTGAAGCTAGCAGTGTAAGTATGGGCCTTTGGCAACCCAGTGGAAACAGCTCCTCCACCTTTGTCTGGTGCATAAGAAGAGAAGACAATGGTTTTTGTTCTAAATGAAGTTGGTGTTGTGGGAGGGAGACGGCACAAGATTGGTGGTTCCAAGGAAATCATTTTACACCCCAACCCCATCGTTTTTTCTGGGGGTTCGAAGCGCTTGTTTTTGAGTTCTAGAGTGTGAGAAGAAGAAACTGGCTCTGAATTAAAGTTTACGTATTTTTTAATAAACGAACAGTGCAATGGGAACATGCGTGATACAACGTGTACAGCACAATGTCAATTGTCAAAGCTCTGAAAGATTCAGAAGGTTTACCTATAACATATGCATATATGTATTCTGTATACATATACATTGATAACTTGTAATGAATTAATACCATGATATATGTTAAATAAGATGGCATAAACAGGGGAAATGACTAATACAGATTAACATAAACAGGGGAAACTGATACATAATATTACACTCGACTGTTCAAACAAACCAAAATCTGAAACCTGGAAAAACTTTATACATGAATCAAAATCCCAGCAGCAACCACAACTTTGTTACTCTCTTTCTACCTATTTGTATCTACCGGTTAAAACGCTAGAAGCAACAATCCGACTAACGTGACTCTCCTTTTAACACTTTTAATTAAAAAAGCCGATGCTATGCACCGGGAAGCGGAAATATGGACTCAGAACACCACCTAATATAATAAGAATTAGCTATAAAACACTTTCGACATGGAAATGCAGTTTACGCAAATGTTAACCTCCGGCTCAACACACAAGAGATGACCTGAGGGATGTGGCGGTTGGGAGATTCGTGCATGATGCCCACCGGATAACGGATTCTGACACCATGAAATCAAGTTGTTCTCGCTCGCCGTGACCGATGGTGTGGTTCCTCTTGCTGTTGAAGGCCAACAACAACCTAGAACCGCTCGTTCCTGCTGTCCTTCCGAATTCAGCTGTCTTGGTCTCCTTTTCTCTTGCCTCGGGCCCACAGCAAAGCTGAGAATCTGGTAATACGAGCAGCTTATCCAACCCTGGCATCCATGAGAGATGCAAGACATAATTTCAGATACCTCGTGTATGAGAACAAATCATAAAGATTTGTAAGATGGTTAGCACAAATTACCTCCATCTAATCTCTCCATCCGAGTAATGTTGGTCGAGAAGTCTGATGTGCAGCTTTCTTGTTCAACCACAGAACTAGGGCTGAAGAATGCAAAGCTCGGCATTGATGGAATGGCAGAATGAAATTCTAAGGCATCAGAATTACTACCGTGAAAAGAAAATCCACCATATGCGAAGCAAGGCGTAGATGGCTCCACCATGGAAGAAGAAAATGATGTTCTGCGTGTTAACGTGGGTGACTGAACATCATAAATGATTGGAGATCCGGCACCGAAGCTGATATCCTGATCCCTGGACATGGAAAATGAGCCACTACAAAACTCCAACTCTCTGCAGCCTTGGTATACAAGCTCACTTGATTCTTCATGACAAGATTCATCATTCTTCATCCATGAATGATCTAAAAGAAAACGACTTGACGTTAAGCTTTTCGTTGAAGAGGGAAATTTCCAGTAACATGCAAGAAACGAAACAATCTGAGGTGATTTCTTGGCCTAGATATACCAGTAAGCCAAATGGGTAACATAATTAAATTTAAGAAAGCTAGTATAAAGAGCTACCGGGGTTGACCCAATTGCTCATGCACGGACTTTCCTTATACATACCATTTAATAGCCACGAAAGACAATGATTAAACTACTATTCTAACGCCATTTGCAAGACAATGATTAAACTACTATTCTAATGCCATTTGCATGCACCGATAAATTTATGACGGGATTCCAACATACCTAAAACCTGCAGTGCAGTGAGCCTTTGTGAAGGATCGGTAGTGAGCATTCCCCTGACTAAATTCTTTGCAGAATCAGAAATGTGATGCCAAGGATCTGATGGGAACTGCAAATCGGCTGCCCTCACAGCATCAAATATCCGTGATTTCGTTTTACCCCAAAATGGTGGTGTCCCGCTAAGAAGTATGTAGAGAATCACCCCAGCACTCCAAATGTCAGCAGCCTGATTATATCCCCCAACCAAAACCTCAGGTGCAATGTAAAATGGACTTCCGACCGTCCCATGCAAACACTTCCCTGCTGGTAACAAACACCAAAATAGTTAAAAACAAAAGAATCTCAAAATTTTCAAGGAAGCAAACAAGCACTGTGAGAAACGGAAAGAAGTGTAAAACCCTACCAGACTCAATATATGTTGCAAGACCAAAATCTGCTAGTTTGATTGGTGATGATGACGCTTTTGTAGCTAAGAGGATATTCTCTGGCTTTAAATCTCTATGCACAATCCCAATTTCATGACAATATAGGATCACTTGCATCAGATGCCTGAAGAGAACTCCAGCATCTACCTCGGGAAAACGGCCATACTTCTCTAGCCGGTGAAAAAGCTCCCCACCTGCACAAAGCTCCATAACCAAATGAACATGGTCTTCATCCTCATAAACAGCCTTGAGATCCACAACATTTGGATGCCCTGATAGCCTAGTCATTATTTCGATTTCAAGCTTGACACTCTGCGCATCATCAGAGGTTACCAATCTATCTTTAGATATCGACTTGCATGCCAATACCTCTCTTGTCAACTTATCTGAGCACAACCTGATAACACCAAATTGACCCCAACCCAATTGCTCTCCAAGAATGTATTGATCCCTCAAATTTGCAGTCTGGTTAGTCTCCAAAATCGTTTCACTCAAGCTTGCAACTTTGTAGCAATTACACGGCTGCTTTGACGTTTCATTGAAGCTGCTGCTCTTGGCAACAGCCATAACACTTTCCAGACGTCTGACTGATCGAAAACGATTCAGGATGTCAGCTTAATACCCTAGGTTTTCTGGAAGCTTGAAACAACTTAGTCTCCCAAGGAAACAAGCTAGTCAAATTTTAATTGTCAAAACTTTGATTTATATATTTCTATGTTCACATAGCTCTTACCAAATCCAGACTCGAGATCAAGACTCCTTAAACATAAGACTTTCATGGGTAGTTGTTGAACTTTGACAGCAAAACTTGCCTCGAAGAACACGGTACCAGAAATCATGACAAGACTATATCAAACCCCAGAACACCATAATCTTAAATGCACACCTAAAAACTATCTTAGTTCAATTAGATTGCCTAGATCTGCAAAAGAATTTGCAATTATCAGATTATAATCAAACACTCTAGTTCAGCTCCAAAAAAAAGCAACAATCTAACCCATCACCTAAAAAGCCAGCAAAACCACAAAACAAAGAGAAATTCAACAAAATCCCATAAAAAAATCCCTTGAAACAAAGCACCCCCAGATCCAAAATCGTTCCTTTACACAAATAGAGAAGAAAAAAACCCCACCTTCCAAATTCAACCATGAACCCTAAAACACAACAAAAACTATATAAAGAGAGATACAAACCTGGCAAGATATAAACACACAGGGAGAGAGCACCACAAAAGAAGAAGGAGGAGGAGGAGTCCGTTGGAGCAGTGATAGAATGCTCTCCCCAAGACAGACCTCTCTGTCTCTGTGGGCTCTTTCTTTTTGTCGTTTTTGCTCGGTTCTGTATATTGAAATCGAAAGAGTATCGCATCGGACTCGACGTTTAAGTTTAATCCACTTTAATCATAGGCTTAGATAATTCCAACTCATTAGATTTGTATTAATATCATTAATAATGAAAATACTTTAATATACCATGTAAATATTTCAATATTTTAATATACAATTTCAAGATGTGTTTCACCTATGCACTTTTCATTGATGCTTTAAGCTTGCCAGTTGATTATATACCTCTTGAATTTCCCATTACATTATATGTTTCACTCTATTCTTCTCTTACATGTTGGTGAAGCAAATTCCCAGACCTAATGATCTGATGTATTATATTAACCCAATGGCTATACTGTGAAGCTAGTAACTTTGCTATTTCAGGCATGTAACTCTTGTAACGAACTGAATGCGGTCTTTTCGCTGTTCCCACTTCCCAGGACTTACCTGGAGGAACTGCAGTAGTAGTTTTGCAGTTGGTGACTTGTGTGCTCTTCTTGAAACTGTTAAAGATTAATCTTATGTAAAGATATCTGTGCCATTAGAGCACAATCTGCTTTATAGTTAGTTCATAGATGTGGTTGGTCTTGCTTTAAGTTACATTAATTAATCCTAATCAAATATCATAGAATTCTATTATTTGTTTTGAACCAAGAAATTGATCTTCACTCATCAGTTTAATTAGAGGTGAGTATTCAATTGAGTCAAGTTGAATGAAAAATATTTGAGTTAATTGAGTTTATGAGTATCCTATTATCATTTGAACTTCATTTGAAATTTTGTTCGAGTCAAGCCGATGAAATTTTGTTCGAGTCAAGCCGATGAAATTTTGAGTCGATTTGAATTGAATATATTTATTCAATTTGTTGTTTAAATTTAAATGTAAATATTTATAATATTATGATTTTAATTGGTTCAAAATTAAATGACTATGACATATTTTTTCATATTCTTTTAGAAACGTGTAAGATTGATAATGTTATTTAATAAATCAAATATGATTTAAAATTATATTTTATATTTATAATATTATTTCTAAAGAAGATATTTTGAAGATAAATTATTAATTAAAGTATAAATAAATCAAAGAATTGACGAGAAGAAATATTTTGTAAAGAATTTTATTTAAATGATTAAATTGAGTAAAATATAAATTTAAGAGATTAAAATAATAAAAAATATTATAAAAAGAATTTTAGTTTATTGTAGTTGAGGAGGATACAATACAGATTTGACTGAAAATGAATTAAAACAAAAGGTGAATTGGAAACAAGAAATTTATGGACTAAAATGAAAAACAACAAAATCACTTAATTAAAGATTGAAGTGATATCGCTTTAATCTTTGTTTTTTATTATTTAATTTTTAAATTCAAAATTAATTTAAAATCTAAATTTCAATTAAATATTCGTGTTGATTTGAATAAATTGAACAATTAAAGTGATATTCGTATTGGAAAGGGGCAACCGACTTTTGGCGCAACACTTGAAGGAATAGATCCTCTTATCTCTTATGACCCAACCCATGCAGTGCCAACCTAGCAGAGGAATCGATTGTGGAAATGGTTGACAACGAAGGAAACTGGGCATGGAGCAAACTCCAGCACCTTCTGCCTTTAGATATTCTTCTACGAGTAGCTGCAATTAAGGGTCCAAGGGAAACACTAACAGACGACTCAGTCGGATAGAAAGGAAAACCAAATCACCTATTCAACGTCAATTCCACCTACAGAATCCGAGGGGGCCAAATGTGGACAAGAAGGAGATGCTATGGAAGACCATTCACAAATTCAAGGGTTTGCAAAGTGTGAAAATCTTCATTCGGCTTGCATGTAATAATAAAATAATGACAAACGTGGAGAGGGTACGTAGACATTTCTCGCTCGACGACAGATGTTCATTATGCGCAGCATCCCCGGAGGAATGTTAATCACGTATTCCGTTGGTGTCCTCAAGCCCTAAGTGTATGGTCTTCGATCGTCAAATCTGGAGTCCCCAAAAGTCTGGACATCTTACTTGGGCGTGACTGAGTAAGCGCATAGTACGCGACGGCGCAGGGTCTCAAAAAATAAGAGTCCTGAAATAGAGTATATCTATTAGTTGTTGCCATTAAAAGGCAGAAAAATAGATATAGAGCAGTGGTTAGATCATTGGACACATGATTTGTTGATCTTAATTTCAAATCTCATTAACAAACAAATTTATTTTTAAAAAAAACAAGTTCAAATTTATACAGGGTCTCGGAAATAGAGTATATCTATCACAGTTTTTTTAAGTTAATGAAATTAATCATTTATTATTTTAAAAAAATAAGTTTGAGATTTAAGGACCTCTTTACAAGAATTTACACAGGACCTCTAACAATCTAACACGATTACTCAATAATTTGGAAACTGTGGCTTGCTAGAAACGCTACAACTTTTGATTCATCAATAGAAGAACATGGCACCGTAATGGAGAAGAGCCGCAATCTCCAAGCTCATTGCACCTGTGAAAGATAAGACCCACACGAAACTCAGGTAAAAGACTCGTCCAAGGGAACTGCTGCACAAGACCAGGAACGTACTTCATGGTCCTGTCTTCAACCGGGATGGTACAGAGTTAATACGAACGCTTGTCGGAATCAAACGAATAGCAACACAACGTGTGAAGGTTTAATAAGAAACCACAGAAGGAAGTGGATCATGGGATTCTATAAATAGATTGGCATATGCTCGATGCTTGAAGCATAACTTCAGAGAGCTTACATAGACATGAAAATCGCATGGGACCTAGGAATTACATAACTCGATGCTATCCGATTAATGAAAAGTAAGACTGAACAACAAGGCAAGCTTGCAATCTTATTACACATCCGTGAACTGGAAAAGGAAAATTGGAATGTACGATTCCATCATATACCTCGTAACGGCAACCGAATAGCCGATTTCTTGTCCAAGTATACTGTAGTTACGGAGAAAAGTGCAAGTTTTTACATTCATGGAGTTTAGGGGAAGTTTTAGTATGTTGAATCACCTCAATGGGCACCAGAAAGCAAGCTCGTTTTTTCTGTTGTTAATTATTGGAAGTATCAAAGTATTTGACTCTAATGATGATGGTGATGATGTGTTTGTTTCGCGAACAGCTTGTTAGGGGAATTGTGTTGCCAGCAGGTATGGATAAGCTTTTCACGGTAAGTAAAGATGAGGCTTTGAGGGCTTGGGATACTAACTCCGGTCAGGTCAGTTTAACTTTGTTTCTTTCCTTTTATTTTGGTTGTTTTAATTTAGTTTTTATATCTTGGGGGAAGTCAATTATATATGTGTGTATATATATTCTGATTTTTTCTATGGCATTTTGTGTAGTGTATGGGTGTGATTAATCTTGATGGTGAAGTTGGTTGCATGATCAGTGAAGGTCCTTGGCTGTTTGTTGGCATACCAAATGCTGTCAAAGTAAAGTTCAGGCAAATCTCTATCAGTTTGTTTCTTCGTTGTCACATTGTTATAGGATTTGAACTTAGAAGAACGATGTTTTTTTTCCACCATTACTGGTCTTAACAACAATCATATTGCAGGTATGGAATACGCAAACTAACCAAGATCTTACCCTTAGTGGACCTGTTGGGCAAGTTCATACTATGGTTGTCTTTAATAATTTGCTCTTCGCTGGTACACTGGTAATGTTTTTAATACTCATTTGAAAATTATAAAATTGCTACTTACCTTGAAAGAACTATAATTAGATGAACCTCAAGCTTTTATAAAAGTCCTAGATCTTTGGGAATCGATTGAAATTTGTACTGGATGACTCTCACTTGGGAACTCTTTAATGTCATTTCACGGACCATATCTCTTTATTACTCTAGCTCTTTGTTCCTGATCTTTAAGAAACAATATCTATTTTCTGCAGGAGGGCATATTGGAATGGAAATTTAACGCTGTCACAAACACCTTTGAACCAGCAGCATCACTAAGGGTCATACCCATCCTGTTGTATCGTTAGTTGTTGGAGCTAATAGACTGTTCTCAGGTTCCATGGATCATTCTATAAAGGTAAGGTTGTTTTAAGTTAAAGTTTTTGATATTGCTGATCGAGAAACTTAATAGTTTCGAACCACCATCAATAGTATGTAATTTGTTATCTTTCAGGTCTGGAGTCTGGAAACTTTGCAGTGTATACAGACTCTGACAGAGCATAATGATGTTGTGATGTCCTTGCTTTGCTGGGATCAGTTTCTTTTGTCTTGTTCATTGGACAAAACCATAACGGTATTTTCTGGGATTAATTTATTTACTTGTTGCAGGTGTGGGTAGCTACAGAGAATGGGAACCTGGAAGTAACATACACTCACAACGAAGAAAATGTATGTTGTACTAATATATCATGCATTCTGTATTTTGATTTAATTCAAATATGCAATTAGTTGTAAGGGCCAAGGGGTTTGAGGATAGAATGGGAGAAGGGAAAACTCAATGTAGAGGATAGGAGATCATCAATAGGCTTCTGCTTTTAGTTTATGTTTGTTGGTAGAGATGACAGTGAATTAAGAATGGAGGCTGAGACACTGGTGGGTTGTTATTGACAACGTAGATGATTGATGGAACAAAATGCTACTTAGTTTTGCTTTGTGTTTGGGAGATAGAATTCATGCTCTGCATTTGCATTTTTAAAGTTACCTTATAGGGCAGAGTTTTCGGGGGGACAACTGGGATGGAGAAGTGGATAGTGGATTTGCATAGGCTTTTCGATTTACCAAATTGTGTTCTAGCCAGTGCTTTCTCCTTCCCTTCATATCCTGGACACCCATGAGTTCTGCTAGATGGTATTAGATGCATTTTCGGGTAGATTTTCAGGTAAAAACACAAACCAAATGGTCTCAATTCTATCAGCCTTTTAATTTAATTTCCTATGATCTTGTGATATGTTTTAACACTTGAACTATTGCCTTGTGTTTCCAGGGTGTGCTTAATCTTCGTGGAATGCCTGACTTGGAATCCAAGCCTGTCTTGCTGTGTTCATGCAACGGCAATTATGTCCGGCTCTTTGATCTGCCCTCGTACGTTCTATTAGAGACTTGCATCTAGCTTAGTGCACGTATTGATTTTGAGCCTCTTCTGTCCTTTCAAGCTGCTTATGTGGATACGATTTTTTCTTTCCTTATGATTCAAGGTTTTCCGAGAGGGGTAAAATTTTTGCTAAGCAGGAGATTCGAGCCATTGAAGTAGCTCCTAGTGGTCTGTTTTTCACCGGTGATGGAACTGGTTTTAAAGTGTGGAAATGGGCAGAACCAGTTGCCATTTCCTGATGCCTTGCACCATTTTATATCATATTCATCAGAATGTATTTTTGGTGTTACTATTTCATTTTGTTCATCCTTCGGGGAGGTTTTCAAGCTTGCGGGAGAAATCGCGGTTTGGAGAAAACAATTCTGGTTCCTGGTGGAATAACACCGAGCATCTTAATGTGTGCCATAAAGTTCATAGAAATAACACAGAATGCGGCAGTCTGATCGCCGAAGAATCATATTCATCGAGAATGATCAGTAGTTATGTGCCAAATTGAGAGTTTGGAGTTTTACAGGATGTGAAATTTTAGTTCGGGATGGAAATTGAGTTGGCAGATTTTGAGTTGCATTTCAAACATATTTTATGTTATTTAAAACTCTTTTAAGAGCATGAGTTAACTGAGGAAATTGTTTCAAGGATCATAAGAAGTGCAGGCTTTTGTTTAAGTGGTGTTCGAAACAAGTAGTACGAGTATTAAGTATCTGATAACGATTAGTGGGACTAACATTGCTTATGTGGATAATGGATTTACAAAATGTAGCAGTTTGTTCCTTTTATTGCATATACAGCCAAAGGTTTTACAAGAGTACATTGTATAAGATAGTTTCCACTCTCATTATGCTACTAATTTATTAGGATAGTCACAGATTAAACATAACCTTAATGGCATTGCCACCACGGGCACTGGTTTCAAAAGCTTCTTCAACCTCTTCCTGAGAAAACCCGAATCTGTGAGTTATCAGAGGCTTCACATTGATCTTCCCGCTTCTTAGAAGCTCAATGCACAAAGGCCAAGTGTTCTTGTACCGGAATATTCCGATAATATCAACCTCCCTGCAGTCGAACCATCGGCCAATAAGTGTTGGAAGGAGCTGGATATTTCAAAAAGATCACTGAAATAAGTACCTTGCAGCAGCCGGAGTGAGTGGGACGGTCATCTCGTTATGTCCCAATCCGACCAGGCAAACCCTGCCACCGGCTCGAGTGGCAGTCAGAGCAGTGGACATCGTTTTGTTAAAGCCTGCACAGTCGAAGCTTACATGTACTGCTGCTCCCATTGCTTTACTGATCCTTTCAATTTCTTCGGGTATGTCCTTTAATATATAATGGAATCAGAATTGAATGAGATCTTTGTCCAAAAAAAAAATAGAAATGAAAAGAATTCAAGGCTGTTATGTTATGAACCTGCATATTAGTTGAGACTTTAACAACTCCATCGGCACCGAGATCCTTAGCAACAGATAGCCGGTGATCGTCCACATCTACAATGACAATTCTAGGTGCCCCGAAAGCACGAGCTGCCAGTATTGTAACTAGACCTATAGGTCCTGCCCCCATAATCAACACATTGGTTTCGGGACCGATATCAGCTCGACGACAAGCGTGAACCGCTACACTCAAGGGCTCACACATAGCCCCTTCTTCCAAACTCAGATTGTCTGGCAATTTGAAACACAGATCTGCGGGATGCACTACCTACATTGAAGACCAACATATAAATAAGAAGAACCATAGACCATCAACATATACATGGACATCAAAATGCAGCTTATAGGGTTCACCTGACGGGCAAGAGAACCGTGAACAGGTGGAGTGGCAAAGAACTTCATTTCATCGCATAGATTGTATCGACCTTCCTTGCAAGGATTGCATCGCCAGCAACTGATCCCTGGTTCCAATGCCACCCGGTCTCCTGGCACTAAATTCTTTACTTCACTCCCAACCTCTTCGATGATCCCAGCACACTCATGCCCGATCACCATCGGTTCTTTCACTATGAAATCCGCAAGCCTCAACGTCTACAAATAAATACTAATGGTAAACATTCTAATTTCTCATACATATAATACAGATAGACAAGATACCTTGAGAAAGTGAACATCACTTCCACAGATGCCAACAGCTTTCATCCTAACTTTTACATCATGGGGTCCTTAAAACACATATTTTACCCAGAACACAAAGACAAGTAATCAATCAATATATAAGAACCAAAAAGAACAAAGTGTTATCCTAAAATCATAATGAAATTTATACCAAGAGGAGGGAGCTTGAATGGCTGAATCCTAAGGGTGTTGATACCCACAAGCCATGCAGCCATGTTTTCTTCATGAGATTCTCCTCCTTTACCCATTTCCTTTCCTTTTTGCTCGTACACAAACTGGAATTTGTTCACCAAGGACGCTTAAAAATGCTTTATATCTGAATTTAGATTAAGAAAAAAATCTTATCCTGACGCGATGACTGTGTCACTGTGGACCAGGAGAGAGATGCGTGGTGGTGGGTGATGGATACACATTTTATCTACAGATATCTGCTTCCGAGGAGTCCCTTGTTTCATACCCTGTGTGGAAGTAATCAAGTCTGGATAAGCACATGTTGAAAAATTGGTGATACAACGTGTAGCAATAATACATGGTTGTCATTACATTATCTTCTTATCTGTTTTAGTGTTTTGTTCTATTATAATAGTTAGAATTTGTAATCCGAATTCCGTTGGATATTATAAAACTATGAAAAATGATTATAGTCGTTAGAGTTTGTAAATCGAATATATCGATGAAGTCCATTAAGCCCACTGCTGCTGTTACCCATTCAATTGCAAAGTAACAGCCCATGTATTTGATGAAGTTCATCCTTACTTTGATCTTTCAAGCAATTGCTCTATTAAAATCCTAATAACAATCGAATTACTATTAAATTAGTTATCAATTCTTTCAAAATCATAATAATAAAAAGGAAACTTTAGTGTTTTATAAGTATAATCATATAGATAATTTCAATTATTTCTTATTTTTAATTCCTCATTAATATATACATATTAAAAACACCATAACAAGATTTATCGTCAAAATTTTGTATTATATATATATATACCGAGTTAGGATCCACTTATACTATGTAAAACTATTTTAGTATTACACAGATTTAAGACCGTTAGATGAATGAAAATTCTGTGTAAAACTAAAAGAGCTTTACACAGTGTAAATAGATCCTAATCATATATATAGGGTAAGACCCTTTTACACAATGTACAACTCTTAGTTTTACACAGATTTAGAACTGTTGGATGAATATATATAAGATCTCTTCAGAAGAATCTCGAATTAACCCATTAATATATTAGTATTTTATATGAAAAACATAGTAATGAAAAAGATACATTGCAACCGATATAGTTTAAAATCATCAAGTGTCCTCAGTAATTAAGGAGATTATTCTTCTTTGTAGAGGCCATAGGTTTGAGTAGTTGTGTCTGTGGTGTGTATATGTACATTGCCAATAATTAAAAAAGATCTCGAACATATACTATCTTATAATTATCTCAGTCTATTCAATGTATAAATTACAAGTGATATAGTTTGTTTTTATCATTTATAGTGGAAATTAATAGTCTAAATGTGCAAGGAAGTTTGGCGATTACTGATTGTCCATAGTTTTATATAGTAAAGTCCCTCCTACCTTATTAATTAGGAATTTACATCCTTTAAATACCCTTAAATGTAAATTTTAATATTTGAGGGGCTTGCCTAATAAAATACAGACAGCTACCGTGGCATGATTAAAATTTTTGTGAATCAGCATTCAATTCGGTTGCTTTTGGCCCTTTAAGCTAACAAGTTAAATAGCAAATGAAGTTATCAGTCTGTCCGATTGATAATAGTTTTCTAGGCATAAAAAACTGTGTTGAAAGTTATCACGATGATGCAAACTGGGGCCAAACCACTTCTTAATCATGATATTATATTGAATTTCGAATTTTTTAGAATTTTATTCGACCAATTAATTTTTCTTTAAAATGATACTATATATTATATATCATATTAATATATGACTATAATTTTTCTATCCGTTTTTCAATGAAAGTAAAAAAAAAATTAGATTTTTTCCCATAATCTCTGATTTCTTTATCATCAAGTAATTAATTATATATAGATAATATATATTATGATTATTGATTAAACTTTAGATGTAAATACAAACCTTTTATATTTTTAATATTTCTAATAAATTTTTCTTTCTTACTCGTGATTTTTAAACATTTTTTACGTAAATTTGTTCGATATTATCGTTCTTTCTTATTATTTTGCGGTTGTATTCTCATCATTTTTAGTAGAAACAATTTTAAAATAATAAGGAAAAAAGATACTGACATACAAATTTATGTAGAAACCCTAAAAAGAAAAAAAATCACTTGCAAAAGAGAAAAGTTTATTGTGAAATCAAAATAACAGAATATTTATAATCGCATCTAAGGTCTAATCAATATCTCTAATATCTATTATATATTTATAGTGTTAATTACTGACAAGAAGAAACTTTTAAATTATAAAAAAATCTTTGATATAAATTTTTACCTTCAATAAAAAAAATTATATAAGAAAATATAATTGGGTTAAAAAAGAATTTAAATTATTAACTTTAATATATATATATATTAATCGATTGAGAAGATATTTATGTTAAGACTATTTAAAGAAATGGAATTTCAATATTCAAATGAAAGGTTGTATTAGTTCAACCTACCTAGTTGAAGTAAAGACATCATAGACATGTAAATATTTTAGTCTACCAATTTATCGATAATTTGAGTGGTTGAAAAAGACATTAGAGAATGAGGATATTGATATTGATGTGTGTTGAGCTTGAATGATCAACCGAAAACTGTCAAGAGATGGTGAATTTATTTGATTGATTCTGGAGAAAACTTGAAGAAATAATTAAAACTTTTAGCATATATCGATTTATAGTGGTTTGATTTTTTCAACCAATATCTACATCCACCAATTTAACTTTCACTTCAACAAATTCACTAATTTGTTCTTATCTTTAAGGATAAAGTGTAACCTTACAACAACTCTATCTTTTCAATTGCTAAGATAAATTCACTCTAGTTTTTTTTAAGGCAAAACTTAACCTCTCCCTTTGACAAGGTTTGATTTCATAAACAAGCGATACCTCTCTAGGTGGGCATTTACAAAGATGTAGTTCAAAAATAATGAATACAAAAGATATTCAATAAAGCCCCATACATTATGTACAAGAGAAAATGAAAGAATAAAGATTGAATACTCTTTTCTCTTGATCTTTAAACTTGGACAGGTGTAGTAACCTTCTTTAAGTGTCACTAGAGTTTTTTTATATCGTGGAATGTATTTCTAATCGTTTATGATCGTTGGTGATAAATTATAGCCGTTGGAAGACTTTATTTTCCTTGATTTCTATCATGTGCTTAGTTTTTTCGAAACCACTAGAGGGGTTTTCTAAACCCTCTCGAAAAAATTTGATTGTTGCAGTAGGGTTTCTAAAACCCCATGCCTAGTTTTTAGAAACCAAGAAAGGTGGTTTTGAAACCAGTCATGGAGGGTTTTCAAACCGGACATAAAATTTTGAAACTTTGAGCATATTGCCCTAAAGATTTCGAAATCTTATTCCAAAAATTGAAAATCTTGACTCATTTTGAGTTTCTAAAAATATTTTAAGTTGTATATCAAATTTACAATACATAGAAAACATTTTTTAAAATTTATGGACTTTAAATTATTTTTAAAAAATTTCAAAAAATATTTATACATTTATTTGTTATATCAAAATGTTAGAATTCAAACTCAGCAATATGATATAAATATTAGAGTTTCATCTTTAGGAGGAAAAAAACCATGTTGACAACATGTGCCTGTTATGTCATAAAAAAAACGGTTTATGTTAACATAAAATCCATCACGACAGTAGGGATGGCAAACGGGTATTGTTTTTTGGATTTCGTTCCGCATCCGCTTTAATTGGAGCGGGGATGGGTATAATTTTAGCAGGTAGTGGGCGGGTGTGAATTTATAAAGTGGTACCCGTCGTGGGTGGTGGGCGGGTAATGGGTTTGAGACATTACCCGCCCCGCATCCGCCCGCCCCATATCCGCCCGCCCAGTTAAATATCTATTAAATTTTGGACCATTATGAATTTAGGTGTAATTTTAGAGACTAATTTATAAATTTTAATATTGTATAATATATAACATATAATTTAACCAAATATTAAGGATATTTAGTCTTTAATCTGGTCTTTAATTAGGGAAATATTCAGCTCTTTGATTAAACCCATAATCCCACTAACCACGTCACTTTCCATGTTCTTTAGCCCATACTGCCCATCCAAATACAAATTAGCCGTACTATAAGCATTAACATCAAAAGCAGCAGTTTTCATGTTCTTTAGCCCCTCAAAACCCATATTAGGCGCACTATGAGCATTAACATCGAAAGCAACACAACAATCCAGCTCTGCGACTACATGCTCCCTACAATCTGTCTCTATAACATTCATAGAGCCACTCCTCTGACAAATTGAAGCATGCGCTGCTACCCCATCACGAACTGTCTGGAAACCAACTCCAACATCCCATTAGTTTGCTGTCAGGCGGGTCTAGATGAGTATGTCGCTAGTGGGTAGTGGGTGTGGGGATGGATTTGAAAATGTACCCGCGTGGGCGGGTGTGGATTTGAAAAATTATACCCATCATGGGTGGTGGACGGGTGGTGGATTGAAAAATATTAGGTGGGTATGGGGATGGGGGAGGGGGTATCCGCACTCGCCCCGCCCGTTTGCCATCCCTACACGACAGTCTATTATTTATGATTTAATATTGGAGTAACAAAAAATAGAACAATTGACAACAATAGTTCAATGATTAGATTGAAGATTTTTAAAATTTAATGACCAAAACAAGAACATAATAAAAATTAAGTGATAAAATTTAAAATTTATCCCATTTTTTATAGTCAAATATTATAAAATCAAATTATATTAAAAAATGAATGTTAAATTATTATTTATAATGAACTTAGAGTAAATAGAAATATTATTTTCTTTATAGAAGCCGTTAATTTTATTAAAAATAGAAATTATCTAAATTATAATGAATGTTTATAAGCACAGTCGTAAACTAAACATGTAATAAATATATTTTTTCTAAACACAAGAAAACTAGTCATTTAAGATCACACAATGATCATACAAGGAAAATGTTAAGAACTTAACCAAATAAACTCGAACAAAAGATATATAAACATATCTGACCGCATCAACGAATAAACCACAAAAGGGGATGAAACTATTGAAATACCACCAACAAATCGCAAATCGCGTATCCAAATCCAATTCGATGGTCCAAAGCAGGGAAGATCAACATGATAACAAATAAGTGACATCTTGATCAGTTGTGACAATGTCAAATTCAATCTTAAAAAAAGGATAAACAAAAATAACGGCCAAATGACCGAAAATATACCATAATCACATAGAAAAATGTAATACATAAAGGCAAAAGAAGCTGTGTCATAAATGCAAATAAAAATGCATCACAAAGGTAAATTTATTAAAAATAAAATAGAAGAAAAAATAAAGATACAAAATAATAAAACAAAAGAAAAATAATAAATACCGATGGTGACCACCAACACCAAAATTGGTAAAATATAGACATTACTTATTATTTTTTTTTCTTTTTTTTTGAAAGAAATCACTAATTTTATTTAAAATATAAAATATCCTAAATTGCAATAAAATTTACGGTAAAATACGCAAATGGTTACTAATGTTTGAGTAAATTTTTGTTTTCACCATTGATGTTTCAAAAGTCACAAATTAATTACTAACGTTATCGGTTGTTACAAATTGATCCCTCGATATTAACAACCGTTATTGTGAGTGACTAAAAACTAACATGGCGCATTAACGGTTGATTTAGCACCGTTTGACCATTATTTTGACCTACCCTTTTCTTCCATCTCTGCTCTCTTGTCTCCCTACTTCTTTTCAACTCAAAACCAACCATTTTCATTTGTCTCTCTTCTTCAATCTTCATCTTCACTAAATACTATTTTGGCTTATTCATTGTAACAGCTTGTGAACCGATACTCATTGGATATAAAGGGCTTCCGGTCAAGCTGTTTCGACAGAGCAGTCACCAATTTTGGCCGGCATATTGGAAGCTGGTTTGTTTCTACAACTGCAGCTGGCTCGGGTAAGGAAGGCAATTTTATGTTATTGAGAGGGATCATCCCTTAACAATCGTTCGAAACCCTGATAGCCAGTTCGAAAAACTCATATCTGGCTGCTTCTAGACCGCAGAAGCAGCAGCCTGATCGTTTAGAGCTTTACAGGCTTTCTCCAGTATCGACTGTAGATATTTGCCTTGTGCTTCGATTCGGAGTTGAAGACGATGTTGTACCTCCAACTGTTCATGTAGTTTACGTTGAACTTCCATCTGCACTCGAAGAGCTTCAGTAACCTGGTAACCCTCATTCACGTCTTGTGCAGCCATTCTCGATGATGTTATCGTGGATGAGCCAGTGTTCTGCCTTTCCGCAATCGAAGAAGCATCCTTAGAGTTATCAGTTGATTCCTTGGAAGATTGATTTCCTAGTCTATATTTCTGAATGTTGAAAAAAAAACGGTGCACATGGCTTTGTCAAAGGGGAGCACCGAAAGGTGCTGTTTTTGTTGAAAAAAATGGTAAAATACTAAATTTTAGTCATTGTAATTTAGGATATTTACAAATTAGTCCTTAAGTTTCAACTATAAATACCCTAGCTCATTTAGCTTCAAAATCATCCCAAAGCATTCTAGCTTTCTTCCAATACTAGAGAGATTTTAGAGAGTTTCTTGAGAGTTGTTTTCTCCTTTTTATCTAGAGAGAATTATCATTGTTTTCTCCTTGGTAGATCGAGAGAGGTTGTAATTCCTATTTTCTCATAGTGAAATTCTTCTACCGTTGCCCGTGGTTTTTACCCTAAATATTTTAGGGGTTTTCCACGTAAATTTTGTGTCTCTTTTATCTTCATTTTTATTTTCTCAAATTATCAGTTGCGATTTTACTCTATCCGATAGCCGTCTTCCGCAACAATTGGTATCAGAGCTAGATTAGAGTGTGTAATATCTGCTTATTGTCTTTGTGGTTGCCACCAAAAGGTGGATCCTCCAACATAAGAAAGTAAGAAGGTATTACCCATTCTTTGAAGGTTCCAGAGAACTATTCACGATAGTGAAATAGTGGGAGCTATCCGTAATAGAAGCTATGACAAAGAAATTTGATATTGAAAAATTCAATGGGAGAAATTTCTCACTGTGGAAATTGAAGATGAAGGCCATCCTGAGGAAAGACGGGTGTCTAGCGGCTATCAATAAAAGGCCGGTGGATTTCGCAGATGACAACAAATGGAACGAGATGGACGAAAATGCTATGGCAAACTTTCATCTAGCATTAGCAGATGAAGTATTGTCAAGCATCGAGGAGAAGAATACAGCTAAGGAGATATGGGATCATCTCACCAAATTGTACGAGGCCACATCATTGCACAATAAAATTTTCCTTAAAAGGAAATTGTACACTCTCCGTATGCCAGAATCTACTTCAGTGACAGAGCACTTAAATACACTGAACACCTTATTTTCTCAGCTTACATCCTTAAGCTGTAAAATAAGAGAACAAGAACGTGCTGAACTTCTACTTCAAAGTCTACCGGATTCGTATGATCAACTCATCATCAACTTGACAAATAGTAATGTCACCAGTCTAGTCTTCGATGACGTTGCAGCTGCTGTTCTACAAGAAGAAAATCGGCGTAAGAACAAGGAAGACAGACAAGTAAATCTGCAACAAGCAGAAGCGTTGACAACGATGAGAGGGAGATCAACAGAACGTGGCCAAAGCAGCAGTCATAAACATGGTAGATCGAAGTCCAGATGCAAAAAGAATTTAAAGTGCTACCACTGTGGAAAGAAGGGTCACTTGAAGAATGATTGTTGGAGTCTCAATAAAAACTCCAATCCACAAGGCAATACCGCAAACACTTCAGATGATGGAGATGCTCTATGCTGTGAAGCGTCAACTATCGTGGAAGGCAGAAAAAGATTTGCAAATATATGGCTCATTGATTCAGGAGCAACATATCACATGACCTCAAGAAGAGAATGGTTCCATCATTATGAACCTGTCTTAGGAGGATCTGTCTATAGTTGCAATGATCATGCCTTAGATATCGTTGGCGTGGGAACCATCAAATTGAAGATGTATGATGGAACAATTAAAGTTGTTCGAGATGTGCGGCACGTGAAAGGCCTGAAGAAAAATTTATTATCCTACGGATTGTTGGATAATAATGCAAGCAAGATTGAAACACAGAAAGGAATCATGAAGGTGTTCCGTGGAGCGCTTGTGGTGCTGAAAGGCGAAAAGATAGCTGCAAACTTGTACATGCTGAAGGGAGAGACTTTGCTAGAAGCAGAAGCCTCTGTTGCCTCATGTAGTTCAGATTCTGCAATGCTATGGCATAAGAAACTTGGACACATGTCAGAACAAGGAATGAAAGTCCTTGTGGAGCAAAAGCTACTTCCCAGCTTAACAAAGGTATCACTTCCTTTGTGTGAGCATTGTATAACAAGTAAGCAACACCGGTTGAAATTCAACACATCAAATTCTAGAGGCAAAAGTGTTCTAGAATTGGTTCACTCTGACGTATGGCAAGCACCGGTCACATCCCTAAGCGGAGCAAAATACTTTGTCTCATTTATTGACGACTACTCCAGGAGATGTTGGGTGTACCCTATTAAGAAGAAGTCAGATGTGTTTGCAACTTTCAAAAACTTCAAAGCGCGGGTGGAACTTGATTCTGGAAATAAGATCAAGTGTTTCAGAACAGATAATGGAGGAGAATACACAAGCGAATAATTTGATGACTTTTGCAAGAGAGAAGGCATCAAAAGACAGTTCACAGTGGCGAACACTCCTCAACAAAATGGAGTGGCAGAGCGGATGAACAGAACCTTGTTAGAAAGAACACGAGCAATGTTGAGGGATGCATGCCTAGAAAAATCATTCTGGGCAGAAGCAGTCAATACCGCCTGTTATTTGGTGAATCGAGCTCCATCAACTGCAATAGAGCTTAAGACACCAATGGAGACGTGGACTGATAAACCAGCTGATTATTCAAACCTCCATGTATTTGGAAGTATTGTGTACGTGATGTACAACTCCCAAGAAATCTCAAAGCTAGATCCAAAATCCAGGAAATGCAAATTCTTGGGGTATGCTGATGGAGTCAAGGGGTATCGCTTGTGGGATCCCACTGCCCGCAAAGTGATCATCAGCAGGGATGTTATCTTTGTAGAAGATAAACTACAAAGAAAAGAAGACAATGATAGCACTAAAAAGTCAGAGACTACACAGATACATGTGGAAAATGAGGTTGAACAAGGAGACTCTTCTGAAGCAGAACCAGCACATGATGAACAAGAACCAGAGAGTTCTGAAGCTCCAACAACTCGTCAATCAGATCGTATGAGAAGGCGTCCCAATTGGCACTCAGATTATGTTATAGAAGGTAATATTGCATACTGCTTTTTAACAGAGGACGGTGAGCCATCAACATACCATGAGGCAATAAACAGCTCAGATGCTTCACTGTGGATGATAGCGATGCAAGAAGAAATCGAAGCCCTTCATAAAAATAATACATGGGACCTTGTGCCACTACCAAAAAGAAGGAAGCCAGTTGGTAACAAATGGATCTTCAAAATCAAGCGAAATGGTGACGATCAAGTTGAGAGGTATCGTGCAAGACTGGTGGTCAAAGGATATGCTCAAAAAGAAGGTATTGATTTCAATGAAATATTTTCTCCTGTGGTTCGACTAACAACAGTTCGAGTAGTTTTGGCAATGTGTGCTACATTGAACTTACATCTAGAGCAACTAGATGTTAAAACAGCTTTTCTTCATGGAAATCTTGAAGAAGAGATTTACATGCTCCAGCCTGAAGGTTTTGAAGAAAAAGAAAAGAAGAACTTGGTTTGCAGGTTGAACAAATCTCTGTACGATCTAAAGCAGGCGCCGAGGTGTTGGTATAAGAGATTTGATTCCTTCATTATGTGCCTTGGATACAACAGACTTAATGCAGACCCTTGTGCTTATTTTAAGAGGTCTTGTCACGATTCAACATGCAAGATTGTAAGCCAATTTCTACCCCTCTTCCTATTAACTTCAAATTATCCTCCAGTATGAGTCCTAGCAGTGAAGAAGAGATGATGGAGATGTCTCGAGTACCGTATGCATCAGCAGTGGGAAGTTTAATGTTCGCTATGATATGCACAAGACCAGACATTGCACAAGCAGTGGGAGTGGTTAGTCGATACATGTTCGAATCCAGGCAAAGAGCATTGGAATACAGTAAAGAGGATTCTGAGATACATTAAAGGGACCTCAAATGTTGCATTATGTTACGGAGGATCAAACTTACTAATCAATGGGTATGTAGATTCTGACTATGCAGGGGATTTGGATAAAAGCAAATCTACTACAGGATATGTGTTCAAAATTGCTGGTGGAGTTGTAAGCTGGGTTTCAAAATTGCAGTCAGTTGTGGCTACATCCATAACAGAAGCAGAATATGTAGCAGCTACACAAGCCAGTAAAGAAGCAATTTGGTTGAAGATGCTATTGGAGGAACTTGGGCACAATCAAGAGTATGTCTCTCTGTTTTGCGATAGTCAAAGCGCCTTGCATCTAGCAAGGAATCCAACATTTCATTCAAGGACAAAACACATACGAGTTCAGTATCATTTCATTCGTGAAAAGGTGGAAGAAGGGACGGTAGATATGCAGAAGATCCATACCAAAGACAATATAGCAGATTTCATGACGAAGGCGATCAACGTTGATAAATTTACTTGGTGTCGATCCTCTTGTGGCCTGTCAGAGACGTAAGCAACTTAAAGGTACAAGGTAGAAATAATGGTGTGAAGATATGATTGTTCCAATCAAATCTTCAAGTGGGAGATTGTTGGAAAAAAAAACGGTGCACATGGCTTTGTCAAAGGGGAGCACCGAAAGGTGCTGTTTTTGTTGAAAAAAAAATGGTAAAATCCTAAATTTTAGTCATTGTAATTTAGGATATTTACAAATTAGTCCTTAAGTTTCAACTATAAATACCCTAGCTCATTTAGCTTCAAAATCATCCCAAAGCATTCTAGCTTTCTTCCAATACTAGAGAGATTTTAGAGAGTTTCTTGAGAGTTGTTTTCTCCTTTTTATCTAGAGAGAATTATCATTGTTTTCTCCTTGGTAGATCGAGAGAGGTTGTAATTCCTATTTTCTCATAGTGAAATTCTTCTACTGTTGCCCGTGGTTTTTACCCTAAATATTTTAGGGGTTTTCCACGTAAATTTTGTGTCTCTTTTATCTTCATTTTTATTTTCTCAAATTATCAGTTGCAATTTTGCTCTATCCGATAGCCGTCTTTCGCAACACTGAAGATGTGATTTCAAGTGATAGACGGTAAGCCATTTTACTCGCATGGTTCTCATAATAGTCTTGGGGGTTGATTTGTCTGGGCCGCCGAGTTAAGTAACACCATCCACAAACCGTTCATGGAGCTCGGCTGTCCAACGGAGTCGAGGCTTGGGATCCGTTGTCAGGACCAAGCAAACATCACCGGGAAAGTTGGTCCCATCAAGAGACCCTTGGTAATACCCCACACATCCATCTAACGGTAATGACCGAATAGCCGAGTACATTTTTTCTCAAACTCTTTTTTTTTCTCGAGAAAGTGATGGAAATGCAGAGGAAAACCAATGAAACGGTATGAGCTGAGCCCTTTCTCTCTGGTTTCGAGTTCTGGGCTCGGAGCCCCCAAACTGTAAAAGAAAAAGAAGAAAATGGGAATAGAGGTCACGCTGGTGAAGCTAATCATTATAGTAGGGGATGTGAGATGATTACAAGATGTGCTATAGGGATCAAAGGTGTTAGAACTTAAAACCTAAACTTGAGTTGTTTTTTATTCATCTTTTTTGGGTTGTTGTTGTATATTTTAGAGACACTTACCTTGAAATTTCTATATATAAAATGCATGTTTAAACTTTGGTTTTTAGTACATTTGTGGATTGCTTGTTAGATTAGGGGGATGAATCCACTATTTACTGAAGATGAAGATTGAAGAAGAAAGACAAATGAAAATGGTGAGTTTTGACTTAAAAAAAGTATGGAAATGAGATAGTGGAGATGAAAGAGAATGGTAGGTTAAAATATTGGTTAAACAGTGTCAAATCAACAGTTAACATGCCATGTCAGCTTTATGTTACTTAGACCAACGATAGTTAACATCGAGTGACCAATTTGTAACGAACGATAACGTTCGCGATCAATTTGTGACTTTTGAAACATCAGTGGTGAAAACGAAAACTTACTCAAACATTAGTGACCATTTGCGTAGTTACCCTAAAAATTATAATCATAATCATAAATTAAACATATAATTTGGACAATTTCTTATAATCATTGAAACAAAACTAACAATTTAAAATCACATAAAGACCATATAAGGAAAGGTTAAAATCTAACTAAGAAAACTCGAACAAAGATAGATACAAACAGATCTAATCGTATTGGCAAATAAACCACAAAAGGGATCAAGCTACTAAAGACCACCGACAATCCGTAAATTAGACTCGAGCGATGTGAAAACTATCCACGAACACATAACAGGTTCCCAAGTTCAATATGTAGGTCTAAAGCAGGGAAGATCAACAATATAACATATAAACACCATCTTGATCAGTCATGGCGATATAAAATCAACCCTTAGAAAAAGATAAGTGAAAACAACGACCAAACAACCGAAAAACATGCCAAAGGCAGAAGAAAACATGCCATAAAGGCATATGAAAACGTGTAATATATGCCGATTTATTGAAAATAAAAAACAAAAGAAAATAAAAATGTGATATAAGAAAATAAAAGGAAAATAAAGAACATCTACGATCAACAACTAATATTAAAATTGGTGTCGTCATCGATCAACAAAGAGAACAAAAAAAAAAGAAATGAGCAGCTTAACGATAAGAGAAAATTATTGGGGGGGGGGGAACTACATAAACATTTCAACTGATAGTTTGGATTCTAATTGAGTGTTACTTATTATTTCTATATTATAACTGAATAAACAATTAAATTCAATATTAGGAATTAACTCAATATTAATCATTTAAACGTCATCAATTATGTTTTTTATTGCCTCAACTTGGACCGACCTAGACCCCCCACCATTACCTATATTTGAATCCTACCGAATCACGAATACATGGATGAACAATAATCTTGACCGCAAAGTAGAAAGCAATATCTATCGTGGGCTGTTGTGAATTTTGAGAATTATGGCTTTTTGAACCTCCAAAAAGCATCGAACTGGGTCAAGGACTTGGTCGGCTACTCACTTTCCGGCATGTTTTGCACGCCAACACTCGACCAAAAGCTTCTGGTCCCCTAACTTCTCCGACGACTTGGAGTTTCGGATACAAAAATTGAACTAGAATATTTTTATTTTTTAATAAAAAATCTCCTCATAATAATTTTTTATAATTTTTTTACAGAGTTAATTTTTTTATTTCACGATTTAGGTTTTATGTAGTGTTTTAAATTGAATTATTTTTACTTTGGATTTTGACATTAAAATTAATCAAATATGCAAATATCCTTTTTTTGTCATATTATATACAAGTATATATAATAATAATAATAATAATAATAATAATAAGAATAAGAAGAAGAAGAAGAAGTTATCCGCCGCTTGAATTGGGAAAGTTGGGGATAGGTTAGTTGGTCGGTTAGGGCACTTGTATATACCCATTTTTATGTCAATGGTGGGAGATTGGGACGACCACCACTCAATCGCTTAACGCTATTGGCCATCTCCACCCTCAAATTCGAACCACAAGTTCTTCAAATTTTGCATTTTCTTCGTGTCCGTATTTATAAATTTTAAAATTTTACATATGAACAAATATTTTTTTTGAATAATTTGGTGTGATTACAAATCAGTATTTGTTTAAATTTTCTTAGTCAGTTGACAATACATATTCAACAGACACATGTGCTCTAACCTAGGATATTTAAAGAGAATAACATTTTATTTCATCGCTGAGGCTACTTGATAAATTCATGATAAAAAAAAATTAATTTAATGTAATTGTGCACTTAAAATTTTAATTGTGATCTAAAAGTACACATAAAATTTTAATTTTTCATTCAATTATATATATTTAAATAAATAGTTATGGAAAAAAAGATTAGAAAGTGGAATAATACAATTCATACCGTATGTATGTATATTGCTGGTTCTTGACAAGGATGTTTCGGTTATCATGATTGCAACGATAACTATACCTTGACTAACAACATTCACAAAATAAATAAAAATACTACAATTTTTTTAGAATAATAAATATGAAAATAAAGAAATATTTTGAATTATTTACATTACATAATAAAGGTGCAATTATTAAAGAAAGTCTTCGTCTTATTGATGATAATAATAATAATAAACCAATAATGATAGAGAAAAAGTCTCATCATCGATGTCAACCCATAACCATGCATTTTATATAGGTTAAAATATGATTCAATTTCTTGAAAATAATATCAATTAACTAAATTTCAAATATAGAGATTGTGCAAGGACTTTGAGCATATTTTAACCATTTATATGTTACTATATATAGGTTGTAAACGAACATAACATTCATTGATTTGTTTGTGAAAAGTTCGTACAATATTCATTTATGTTCGGTTGTTAAGCTAATAAACGAGTATGGACAAAATTTTTATTTTCATTTAATAAACGAACAAACACGAATAAATGTGTGTTACATTTGTTTATGTTCACGAACAAGCTCATTTATCGATTATTCGTTTATGTTCATGAAAAAACTCATTTAATTGCTCGACTAGAGGCTCATTTACTTCTTTTACATTTTTAATATTTGTGAATGTAGAGACTACATTGAATACTCTGTGAAATTTGAAGGTTAAACTATGAAGCTTAAGGAATTTAAGTACCAGTGGCATAATTTTACCATTTTTTAGCTTGCAAATGAATACACGCATTAAAACTAAATGTGTTGGATTAAAATTCATAATTGTATGCACATATGTATAATGTACAATGATATCATAAAGTATGACACAAAATTAAGGGACCAACTATGTTACATGTGTCATGGGTATTAAAGTGTAGATACCATAAGTTGTATTATAATTTGATGAGGGGCATAATTATAAATACTTAAAAGTTTGCTTAATATTTAATCTATATAAAGAGGTAGTGATCTCCAAGAAATAGGTCCACTTGTATTAATCTTATCACTGTCAGAGAATTTTTACGGCAAGAGCAAACCTTTCTTCTTAGAAGATCACAAAAAAAACTTAAGGATTTCAACAAATCGATTAATTTAGGTAAACTTCCACATCTAATATTTTATTATTGATGATTTGACATGATTAAATTCTGATTAGTTTTTATGTTTATTTTGATTTGATTCTAACAAAATCAACGTGTTCGCGAACAATAAACGATTCGCGAACAAATATGTTCTCTAACGCTAAACAAACGAACACCTTCAAAATAAATAAACGAATATAAACATGATATTAAAAATTTAAACAAACAAGAATCTAATATAAATATCTTTAAAACAAATAAACCAACACAAATACAACTTCATTTCATTCGTTCAAGGTAAGTGAAAATGAATAATAGCCTTGTGAATCTACTTGAAGGAGCATCCTCACTAAAGTTAAAGGAAAATCAAAAAGGAAATTTTTTTTATTGAGTTACCACGTGTAACAGCTGCTTTCATTGTATTCATTATCTTATTCGTCTCATATATCATGTTATTATTTTCCAATTGTATCAGAAATTTCATAAACAGACTCCACAATAGTATTTCTTTAAAATGTCTCAAACTTGCAAATGAAAAACATATATACAATTTTTTTAATCGTACTTGTATTTTTGTTATTTTCATTGACTATATATTAAATAATTTTATATACAAATATATATTTAACGAGTAATTAAGGAAAATATTTAAATACCCTGCTCCTCCCTTTCCAACTTCCCACCAACGCAAAAGTGTATAAAAGGCACGTTATTTCCTTCCGATCGCATCCTTTCATTCCCCCCCTCTGTTTCATCAAAGTTTTTCAAAAACCCCAACCTCTGTTTCTCAATCTCCCCATGGTTTGCTCTTCTTCTACCTCCTCAAAAAAACCCAGGAAGATCAAATCAACGGGGCTAGTGGATGCCGCCCCGTGGTACTGTTCCGTGGCCTTACTGGCTTTAATACTCATAGGGTCCATCAGGGCAAGTTCTGTCTCCGATGAACCAGTGAGAGGCGCCCAGATCCTGAACCGTCCCTGCGACGAAATCTATGTCGTAACCGAAGGGGAGACCCTTCACTCGATCAGCGACAAGTGCGGCGACCCGTTCATCGTCGAGCGCAACCCTCACATCCACGACCCCGATGATGTTTTCCCCGACCTCGTAATCAAGATCATTCCTTCTGCTGGTACGAAGCTATAGAATTAGCTACACGTATACACAAAAGAAAGCTTCTTCGTATTATTCATACAGGAGAACAGAAGAATAAGTATTCTTCTGCATACTGGGTTTTAGTCTTTTCTTCTTTTGATCTTAGTTATGTAAAAGTAAATGAACAGTTGAAGCTTATATGTACATGGA